GACTGCCCTCATGTTCCTGGCCAGGTCGATGTCATTTGGAGCTGAGCGGCTGGCCCATTGTGTAGGGCATGCCCTCTTTGTTCCTCCCACCTTGTTTCCATCACTCAGCTATGTCACCTCCCCAGCCCTTCCAGGGAGTTATGTTGGCAATCCCAGAGTTGCACTCCAAACTTGCACTCTTTACCACCCTGCTCTTCTGCTTCTACACTTCTGGTGTAGTTATTGCTGCGTTGCTGGGAGTCCCATTTCTAACTAAAACTAGTGGAGATGGTGGCTTATTCTCTTGGCTGCAGCAGGCCTTGCAAAAACTTGCAGCTCATTTTAATATGTTTTGATCTGACTCTTAAGTACATATGTAGGCCCTGAAGTAGTGCTTCTTTAAAATTGAGCCACTTGAACTAACGTAGCATAGGGAACTATACTGCCATATATCTATCTTCTGAAAGTTGTACATTCATGCAAACAGTGTTATCCTAAGAGACTACATTACAATGTTTTTAATACACTATTTTAAATTAAATCTATAAGTCACCAGGTGTAATTTTTTAAAATTCCATCACAATGAATTTGATTCATTTGGGCAAACTGAAGGTATAACTACAATTATTTTTCTCCTTCTCTAAGATAGGATTTACCTTTCAATCTTTCTGGGGTAAATGAAGCAGTGTGGTCTAGTGGGAAGAGCTCTGGTCTAGGGAGTAAAAGCCCTTGGTCTCGCCTCTGGCCCTGACTACCGTGTGACCACGGAGACTCAAGTCACCTCCGAGATCCTCATTCACATTATTTGCAAAATGAACAAGATCACGTCTTAGCTTTCTTCCCTTTCTGCTTACTATTTGTAAAAGGAGTTTCAAATGCTGATTTCTTCAGAAAGGGATGCTTAAGGTTGCTGATTATGTTCCTTACAAAAGGAAATTCAGACTTAATTTGGTGAAGTTAGGAGCATAGGCTCTGAAGCCAAATGGCCTCAAATTGCATCCCAGATCTGCTATTTACCAGCTGGGTGATTTGGCCAAGTACTTGAACCTCTCTAGTCATCAATTTTTGTCAGCAAATTCGGGTTGATGGTAATGTCTACCCCGTGAGGGGAGAGTTATATGAAGTAAAGGGCTTAGAATAGTGACTGGATCATCTTCAAGTGCTCCCCAAATGCTAGCTCTTGTTCTATTAAATTTTCAGGATAAATGAAGCCAGATAAAACAGGTGCCAGAGACCTGCTTCCTGGATGACTTTCTTACTGCAAATGACCCTCATGATCTGAGGGAGTAAATATATCCAAAATCAAAACAATTTACAGTCATCTCACATGTTGAGTCAGGCCTTTCTTATCATTCCTGCTACCACATGCTTCTTTTTTTCTTCTTCTTTGTAAATTTCTAGAAGAATTAGTTGTATATTTGCCACCTGTACAAGGCTTAACAAACAAACAAAAAAAACAAGACAATCTCATGCATATCAAAATGCTAGATGCGTAATAATTAGTATTATGAACAGAGATGATTTATGTATATATAGAACATTATTCTTGCAGCTTATTCATGTTTTGAATAACATCAAGGGAATTAGTTGGTATATTATTGATCTACTCTTATTAAAAAGTAGTGATAATAGCATCATAAAAAAGCAAACTATAAATTTAATCAAGGAAAGCACAAGAATTTGATGTAAATTTATCCCTGAACTAGTAAATTGTATGTGAAGACATAAAAAAAAAAAGTTCAAGGATGAAAACAAACATTCATTATCATATTTAAGGAGGATGTATCTGAATTAGAATACTTACTCACCCTTTTTGCTTCAACATCCCAAATGGAATATTTGGAAATTACACATGCATCAGCACATGATCTATTTTAGCCTTATTCTCTGGGTGATAAGCAAGTCATAGAAAGTTCACAGCACGAGGATCACTTGGAGGAAACTTGGCAAATAAATGAAGACTCAAGCCTAGGCATCCCAAATCCTTAGACCTTGTCTCCTTTTCTATCAGCTCCTCAAAAGCAGTTCCTTGAACTGTGCCATGGATTTGTATTAGGGATATACACTCTCACTGAAGACGCAAATTCTACTACCTTTCTTAGAAGCCCTACAGCTCAAGTGAGGCTCAGGTTGAAGTGGCGGAGGCTGACAGCATCTCCTAGAAACTAACCAGTGGGTACGTGGCCTCAGCGGCCAGAGGGATCAGATTCACAGATCTTTGTTGCAAGCCTAGCTGAAATCGTCTCTGGGCGAGGTCGTAGGCCATCACATAAGGTTAGCTACAGGAGAGTTTGGATGAAATTCTCTCTTTGGGGCTTTTGGAAATTGTGTCCCAGACCATAACATGAGGATGGGACTTTATCCTAAATAAAATTAAACATGGTAAAAGAAGGAAGAGAAGAGAACCAAAAGTCATTAAAACATCAGACACCAGGCTAGGAAGTAGACGTTGACTTTATCCTTTATCCTAAGTTTGCTTCTAAGTAAACCAGGCCACAAAAAGAGGGGAAAAAAATCGTACTTCAATTTGTCTGACTTCAAAACATACACCCTCTTTCCACTGCACTACCCTGTACTTTCTATGTCCTAGGTAATCCTTAAGTGTCTCCAAAAATACTGTGTTTTGTATAACCAGATTCTACCTACTTCTGTAGATTATGGAAAAACGGGAATCTGGCTGGATCTCACAGGAAGACCTTGCCCATGGTGACGTTACCAAATGCACACAGGGCCACTGGGGGCAGCATTCTTTTTAGGTTACTTGCCTCTACATGGTCCTGCTCACTGCTGTATCTGCAGTTCCCAGAAGAGCCCCTGATAGAATGATCCATCTATTTGTTGAAAGAATAGATTATCCTTTTTTTTTTCCAATTCCTTTACAGGTCTCAGAGGTGCCAAGTTTATCTGCTTTCAAGACCGCCAGTGGCACAGCGAATGCTTTAACTGTGGCAAGTGCTCAGTCTCTTTGGTGGGGGAAGGCTTCCTGACCCAGAACAAGGAAATCTTCTGCCGCAAATGTGGCTCTGGGGTAGACACTGACATCTAGAAGGAGACAGTCCTTCCCCAACTGAAATCCACCTTGCTTTTGTTCTCACTAAATCCAGGACTTGATTGGCGTTGTCTTTCTGACTTAATTTTTAGAAAAAAATTAATGTAGAGTTTATAGTGGGAGAGTTTTTGCACACATTCTGATTGAACTATAAGAGTTCAAAAAAAGCACAGCCTAACAGAAATATGAATATATACTAAATCACATAGGCACCTTTCCTTGCAATATACTGCACTCTGCTGTTAGAAATTTAGGAAAATATTTTTTATTGTAATCGAGTGTATGACCTATACCTAGGAGTCAGGGATGTTAATACTGAAGACTGATGTTTCTCAAAACTGCAGAGTAAAAAGGAAATGAAGAGATCAAATTGAAAGGCATACATGAGATTAATATTTGCATTCCTAACTAGCTAATTGTAGCTATTGGCTATGAACTGTAGAAGAACAAAACTAATCAGGGAAACTGATTCATTATCATCACATTTAAGTACTCTGTCATTTTATCATTCTTTTATTGTTCACACACACTGACTTTGGAGTTGCAAAAACAAAGCTGCCATTTGCCCTCATCCACCCCGCTTCCACAGCTGGTTGGTTACAATATTTAATCAATGGAATCTGAGAATTCTGGACACTATGACTCTCATTCTCTGCATAGATATAAAAGAGTCCTTTTTACCTAGGGATGGTCAAAGCAGAGGTTTCAACACATTTTAATATTAAATGCATCTTCAAAGCCCACAATAATTTTTTTTCATAAATACTTACAGATTCTGTGAAAGGAAAGTCTATTCTTTCAAATGAGCTAACCAGGATAATCATTGTCCCCAAAGGCAAACCTTTAAAGTAAATAGATCATTAAATCATCACTTGTGGAAATGAGTTTTAGGGAAGGGACTGAGTGTTGGAACATGACTTTCATCCAGATAACTAAAGGCATAACAGAATGCATAATTAGCTCTGAGCCTCATGCATTTTGCCTTCCAAAATTACAAAGATGATTAATGGGAAGACATAAAAGTGGGCTTTAAAAAAATCTAGTAATAATAAGAACTGAAAAAAGAATAATTAATTGCTGATAATTCAAGACCCACAAAGCAGCACAATACAGCAATAAAGTCTGTAGATGAGCCCCTGCCAATGTTCCTCCACAACCGTGCCCCCTGCCACACCCATGCCAGCCACCACGGCCGCGACAACCCTGTCCCAGAGCTTCAGTCCTTGCATGACTGTGAGGGGTACACTCAGCCCTCAGTTGCCAGTCTACAGTTGCCAGTCAGTGTTTATTGGTCACAGCCTTAATGAAAAGCCCGCCACCATGTGTTTATACCAGACATCTACTGATGATGACCCTACCTGGCTGCCCCTGGACAATATTTTCCACATTATGTGGAATAAATGGAAAGCAAGCTCTGTTCTCCATACTCAGTTATCACCTTCAGTTAGAGTGTCACTTGTATGGAGTAGAGAGAGGTCAGGAGAAGAAACTCACATTGACCTAACATTTTTATAAGTGTTTACTTTCAGATTACTGCATAGCTTTAAAGGTTCTGATTGAAATCTAATTATATGCTGTGGCTGATTACAAGGATTAAAATAGTATCACAGAAAATTCAATTTAAATGGTTATGGAAGCGCAAGTTTTGAAACAGTTTAAAATGCAAGGACATTTCAAGATGCTAGCAATTTAGAGATACTAATTAAAGGTCAGGATGTACATAGGCTATTTGAAAAATATAATTATCTTTTCTGCCAACATATTTCTTCATATTCACATTATTAAATGTAGGCAAAAGTATCAATATTTTTCCTGCATTGTTTGAAATTGCACATGTGGAACTGAATATGCCAATTGTTCTATGATCCAGAAAATAACCATGTATTATATACGTAGAAAACCAAGCCATTCTGAATCTGAATAGATATACCACATGTAATACTATCTCAGTTAACCAATTATAAACAAACATACAGAATGTAATGGTTTTTCTTAGTTAAACAATTGGTAACGTCTAGGCATTTTGCTGTGGGAGGTTGCGGGGGCTGGTGTAAGTATGCATGTGATCAGGCTTGTGTTCAGTCTTTCCAATTAAAATTCACAGAACCATTTGCAAGACAGATTTTGTGATCTTTTGATAAGTAAAGTTACGTATATTTACTTTCACATATAAATAATTCCACAGTTAGAAGGTAGCTTAGTCATCAAATTTATATTAAACATGTGCTGTGCACACTAGAGCTCGAGCTGCTGTAGTTCTGGGGTGGTGGGAGGGTATATCAGGCTATGGAAGTCTGGGAGACGCAGAGAGCCTCCCCAACAACTTACACAAAGTGCCACTGTCAAGGTAACACACAACAACTGAGAAAGGAGACACCATCAGACGGACACACACAAAGATGAGAGTAAAGATCACACACTGTATACTACGGTTGATTTAGGTCAGTAAAGAGAAAAGCTAACTGACCTACCCAGAGATGGAACAGGCTGCCTTAGGAAGCTGTGGGCTCCCAGTGATTCAGGGCATAACATCTGCACAGGCAGGGAAGCGGTTAGAAGCAAATCCTGTGAGCTAGTAACAGCCCAGATGGCTTGGAAATAGAGAAACTCTGCCAAAGAGCAAGAAGAAATGAGACTGCTAGAGGAGAAAGGGTCAGATGAAGGGGGAATGTGAAGTCTTAAAATAAAAGTTTTATAGTTAGTAGAACAGCCAACAGAAAGTCACTAACTGTTCTTAAATAGAGGAGAAAAACATTACGACAGTGTTTGAGGAACAGGGTGCTAAGGATTCTGTGTGGCCTAGAGCTGAAGAGGGCGAGGTTCCAAAGGTTAGGCCTCTGACCACAGTGAGACTTTGGTTAGTGGCTACAGGAGTGAAGAAAGAGACGCAGTAGGTTACACAGGCCAAGAGCTGTATCTGTCCATACAGATGAGCAAACAATCGCTGAGTCAAATATTTTATCTTGTCATGTTGGGGTTAGAGATGAAAAAGAGAAACAAAGAAGAGAATTTCTGCTTCCATGATAACAGGTAGGGTGCTCAAGGGTTCAGTTTTCACTTAACAAAATCATAAACATGTCATATTGGGATGATCTGGGCCCAGTGGTTAAGTGAAGTGTCATAGCGCTACAATCACAGGTTCAGAACCTACATGGTCACTATAACTTTAACAAAAGAAACATTAAGGTGTATGTACACTGGAGTGAAAGGTTGGCCAACCTTTGTGAAAATGCCTAACCCTGGCACAAATGGCCTTGGTTAAATGTCACTGCAAAACTTAGCACCACAAATGAAAAGTCAGCCTAAAAACAGGTGTGATGTTAGTTACACCATTTTTGAATTTAAGGAAAAAAGTACTTTTTAATCTGCTTGGTGTATTGGTAATAACTCATATTTTAAATAAGAAAATGATTGTTATAGTATGCTTTAGATATATTCACTTGAGCACATAAATTATTCTCAAATATGTTTATTACGATGATAATACAGTTTTTACTTGTTGGACAAATTCTGGTTTTCAGAAGTTTCTTACGCTGAATAAATTTACATAGTACGCATTTCTCAAGTTGTTTTTAGAGATTCATTTTTTTTACATTAATTGTGCAGTAAGCAAAATAGATATGGAATAACTTTGTAATAATTCTACTTCTATTACAAAAGGGGACATAGTGACATTTATCTTCCTGACTTTTACCTTCATTTTTACAACACCTAAATTAACTATATGTTCAAACATCATTTCAGGGTATTAATACAAATATAGCATAATTCAATTCTGTCTGACCCAAACAGTAATGCTGCCACATCGATGCTCTTTTTAAGAGTGATAAAATTTTTAAATATTCTAAACTAAGAGAATTATTTTAGTTATTATTTCTGTGATTCTAAAAAGATTCCATCAGAAATATCCCACTTCAGTTGGATTTTCCTGTTCTGACTGAAGTAGCCTTCTGCTAATTTCTTGTTATTTGTATATCAGAGAAATTGTTAAAACCCTCAGTGGTTTCAATCTCTTATTTTATCTAAAGCAAACTCTGGGTCTGTAACGCAGGCTTCATGAAACTTTCGCTAATCCACACTATAAGCATCAGTTAGGTTCTCTCCAGAGTTAACATTAGATTATTTATTCACTTACTGTCAGAATGCATCCCACCAAGAAAGATTCAGAAGAACATTTCTCATCAAACACTTCTAGGTAATTTTTTAAGGACCACATGGCTCTGAAATATGAAATTCTTATGGGTCCTCAAAAGATTAACTTTTACCTTAGAATAGTGTTTCTTCAATAAAACAGTCAGCATATCACTAGAAGTTATACTTGCTAGGATATTACTTTCATCCTGAACCTCTTACCCCATAAACATAAGACCTTCTTTAGCTCTTCATTATTCTACTAGAACCACTCCCAAGAGTCAGCTGGGATAACTGTAAAGAAATGTTTGGGGAGCTCTGAGGTCCTCTTTCCAGTGAGAGGTAAAGAAGACCTAGTAAGAGTTGGGGAAAATGTCCTAAGATAGAATTGACCTTACAACTTTTCAGAAGTTAGTGTATCTGGATTTTGTTATGCCAACACTTAACAAAAGGACATGAAGGAACAAAGATACCAACGGTCATCAAACTCAGGAGAAATTAGAAGTGAGTCCATCCACTCAGTCATCCATGTGGCTTCCAGATAGTCCTAAAAATGCATCATCCAGAGAGAATTAGAGAAGTTCTGGTTCAAAATTTTGAACATTCTGAATTTTCCCTGATGACCAGCTTTAGGACCAGATACCCTGCTGAATATGGGGTTGGAGGAGGCATTTCTCAAACTGAAAATCAAAAAGGAGGCGAAAGAAACAGAAGAGGTCATGCTCAAGTGTGAGCCTATAAAAGAACCGAGTTCCTGTGTATTTGGAATGACTGGATTGTATATCTTTGTGGTTGAGAAAGCGAATAGCTCACTGTGATAGAATCATGATCCATGTCACTGAGAGGCAAAGAGTATCTGGGTCAAATATTTTCCCACGAATGGTAATAAACTTATGGAGTAGATGTCCATAAAGGGTTCTCTAAAGGGGGAGCATTAATGAGCTCAACAGACATCCACTCAGTGACTCAAACAGTGACATTCAATGCTATTCCCACCACACGCAAAAACAAAAATTAAGTTTGACATTTATAGAAATCCACACACTGAACCTCAAAGCTTCTTCTTTCTTCTTACAAATGATAGCCTATCCTTGATTTTTCTCTGTAGCATCATTTATGAAGCTATTTATCTGAGATCTCAAACCCAAGTTTTAAACAGGAAATGAATGAGTGTGGGTAAAGAAGAAATGAAGAAAAAAAGTGGTGATTAAAAAAAAAAACTTCCTAAAAATATATATAATTAAATTGAAGTTTTAAAGCTTTTTTCCCATAAAACTTTTTCAAAACCACAAGGCATTTGAAGAAAGCAAAATAAATAAAAGGAAAAGAAAACTTTTGATAAAATTTTTGACTTTGAGAACTACAATTTGGTATCTTTCTCTCCCTTTCGAGGAAAAATTACTCTCTCAGATGCCACCAACAGGCACACAGTCACCAACATCAGTAATCTTCACCTTCCCATGTTGTTGTGAGGTGTTTACTATTGTTGGCCTTTCTTTGTTCTTTCAAAATTTGACTGTAGTCATCATTTCACTCTGTGCACATATATCAAATTATCATGTTGTACACCTTAAATAAAATAACTTTAAAAAATTATAAAATTCTCCAGGCAGTTCCCATCAACAGGTGCTCAAAGCGATCTTGGAAACAGAGCTTCTAAAATAATAGTGACATTAAATAATTTCCTTACGTTTGTGAGATATGTTTTTCATGTCCAATACATTTGGCCAATTATTTCCATACACTGCTGGGGAAAGAAAAGTATTTTTGGAAGGAAATTTAGCAATGTATAACAAAAGGACCTTAAGCATTTTTTTTTTCATATGCTTTGACCGAGAAATCCTGATTTCTAAGAACTTATACTGAGAGAGCCCCACAAATTTATTGTACTGGAATGTTTGTTGCAGTGTTTCTTAAAAAGCCCCCAGCAAGAAACCAACTTAAAGGTCCAAAATAAGAATAAATTAATTATGGTACAACAAAATACTTGAAAAGCAGCCATAATTTGAAGATTCAGTGACATGAAGAAAGTGTTCATGACCTAAGGTTGAGTGGAAATAAAATGTTATAAAACAACATGCATGCTATGTTCCAATGTTACTAAATTTATTAATTTTTGTGTGAAAAAAACACTGCAAAGAAGTACAATAAAATATCAACATTAGCAAAATTAAAAATTTTTCTTCCACGCTACCTGTCTCTCATGGCTCCTAAAGTTGTGTCTCCCCTGCTAGTACACCATCCTTTATCTATTTCTTTAAAACAGATGTTCCTAAATATTCTCAAATTTCTTGCTCTACATTTTCTCTGTAAATGAACTCATCCAGTTTCTAATTTCAAGTGCCTTTTCTATGTAGCTGAGCCCAAATCTTTGTGTCCTGCCTTAAATTTTCTTCTGAGTTCCAGATCCAAGTTTCTCTCTGACTTGTGGACATCTGCAACTCAATATTTTGCAGACAGCTCACAACTTTTATTATCCTTCCTGCAATTTCCACTAATTTTCTTATGTTCTGCATCTTAGTTAAGTGCATTATCCAAATAGCCTTTAGATTTTATGTCTTGGGCACATGAAAAGATGCTCAACACCATTAGTCATTAGGAAAATGCAAATTAAAACCGTAAGATACCATTTCACACAGACTGGAATGGCTGTGATTTATAAGTCAGACAGTAACAAGCACTGTTAAGATGCAGAGAAACAGGAACCCTCATACATTGCTGGCAGGAATGTAAAATGATACAGCCACTTTGGCAAATAGTTTGGCAGTTTCTCAAAATGTTAATTATAAAACTACCAGACAACCCAGCAATTCTACTTCTTGGTATCTACCGGAGAGAAATGAAAACCTATGTCCACATAAATGTTCATAGCAGCGTTATTCCTAATAGCCAAAAAGTGGAACAACCCAAGTTTTCAATTGATGAATGGATAAACAAACATAGTACACAATGGAATATTAGTGAATCATAGAAAAGAATGAAGTACTGAAACATGCCACAACATGGGTGAACTTTGAAAACATTATGCTAAGTGAAAGAAGTCAGACAAAAAAAGGTCACATATTGTATGATTCCATTTATATGAAATGTCCAAGCATGCAAATTTATAGAGACAAAAAGTAGATTGGTGGTTTCCTAGGGCGGGAGAGGGAATGGGGATTTATTGTAAATGGATGTGAGGGCCCTTTATTGAGGGGAATGAAAGTATTCTAAAATTGGTTTATGGTGATGGTGGCACCACTTGGTAAAACAACTAAAAATCACTGGATTGTACTTGAAATGAGTAAACTGTATGATAAAGTACATCTCAATAAAGCTTTTTTTTTAAATCTATCTTAGATCTTCCCTCTCTCCAATGTCTTACATCTAATTCCTGTAAGAAAAGCTACTAGTTAAATATTTTCCTTTGCAAGCCTTTCCCTGTTTCCCCAACATTTCTTCCCTTTATACTTTGTGTGCCTAGGATCCTCCTCCTCTTACCTGCCTGTCCAAATGTTAATCAACTTCTGAAGCCCAGGTCAAAGTTACCTCCTATGTGAAATCTTTACTAATATGACTTAGAAAAAATTAATCATTTGCCTCAACATCTTTTACAGTTCTGTGAGCAGTGTGAACAACCTGATTTATAGTACAGTTAGAAATGGGAGAAAATCGAATTAAAAGTTGATGGTCTCTGGAGCCAGAAAAACTAGCTTCAGACCTTGCCACTTCCTTGCTGTGTGACGTTTAGTAGTTACTGAACTCTTTGAGCCTCGGTTTTCCCATCTTTAATTGGGGATATTAATTATAAACTTCAAAAAGCTGCTCTGAACATTAAATGAAATAAATGCAAACTGTTTCACATCTACCAGCAACATATTTAACTTATTAATGTTATTAAACATCAGTTATCTTCACCTTCCTTTCCACTCTCACTCCACCCCTAGATCATGCTTTTATCCATCTTTTACAAACCCAGTGCTTAGCAGGATGTCTGGCACTTGGTAGACAACTGATAAATACTTACTGAATTAAATTTTAGTTGTGAAACTGTTATTATTGTTATAATAATACTCTTTCTATGTTCTTAGTAACCATGATAAATATGTAAATCCTTTTTGCTACTCATCTTGATCATGATATATAAAGTTGTCCGTGTGAGATGTAGCTAGATTGCAAATCAACACCTGCAACTTCAAGCATCGGCTTTGAATTTTCAAATTTGATAGCGCTGTTGCCTCTGTCCAGAGACTACTGATCTGTGGAGTGAGCTTCTTTCAACCAGCATTCACATGGGTGTCTTGAGACACTTAATTTTCAGGTGCTCTGGAGAATAACTGCCTATATTTGAAGTTTCCTCTTGGGCCCTCAACATAGATTTTGCATGCAGAGTTGCTT